AAAAAGTCTACGACACCGGGTATTCCCAGGTGGTCTCCCTCCCAAGTACTAACCCGGCTCGACGCTGCTTAACTTCGGTGATCGAACGAGAACCGGTGCTTTCAGCGTGATATGGCCGTAGACAACACCTAACACACTCGTACTGCTATGCATTGCTACGTTCAATTGGAACGCATGCGCACAATAGCTATTATACCAATACAAGTTGCATTATGCAGTACTGCTGTATGTGTTGATGTCTACGGCCACTTGTTATACACTTTTTATTTTATTTTATTTCTTACTTTTTAAAAATATATTTTAACTTGTAAAATATTAAATTCAATCTAGCTTAAAGTTCTACAAAATAACTTAAATATTACATGCTAGAACTAATTTTTAACATATAGTTAGGCCTCAAAACATGACAATAGAAAATAATTTGTAAATTAACACAGGGCAGTTTTGTCACACGCGCGCACCTGTGAGTTGAGACTAATTTTGCATTAAAACTAAAATTGAGATGCTAGGTATTTTTAGCTTAAAACTCATGCAGCAATATTGTGCTAGGTGATTGTAGGTGATATATTGTAGTGTACAGTACAGTGCAATAATAGTAGTATTTGTGGATGTATTACATGCACGGCTCCGACGGGTGAAACCTATCGGAAGCGCAGCGAAAGAATGATGGGATGAGAAAGTCGTCGGCCGACACGCCGTATGTCATGAACTTAGAGACCGGCAATGAGTCCATCATTTTGCGGATATACTCGTCGATTAGACTTTGCTGTCTCTGTATATTGTTTTACATTAATTCAATTTAAAGCAATAATTTGTAAAAATAATGTACGATTTTAATGTTTGGGTCGTCCGTTTCGGTTATGTTGGCCAATGTTGTCCACTCGTCGCCAAAATCTTGGTCAAAATCCTTCAGTTTTGATAACATTAATCTGTTTTTTGCAATAATAATTACAAAGTTATTTCATATTTTTAATAGTCATTAATTGACTAAATATTAAACTATATTTTTAATTATTATATTTTATAAGAGAGGAGAGAGAGAGAGAGAGAGAGAGAGAGAGAGAGTT